ACGGTGCATGAAAATTTTCTCATTTAAAATGAAATGAAAATTTGTACATTATTCAACTGACTTCACCTACTTGTACTCATAAACAGCTAACTTCGCAGTCACTACTCACCGACGTCAGCACCGCTATCCGCTATACATTCTACAATTTTCAAGGACAGGCGGGCTATGCTTTAGTACGTAGTAACCGTTCTCCTGTTCTCTAACCTTCATGGTTGAAAATGTCAAATTGTGTTGATATTTGTATTCAGTAAAGTTTGAAAATTCGTCGTGAATCGTTTAACGCCACAACAACGCTTCCAAATTGTGGAAATTTACTTTGAAAAAAAAAAGTAAATCTGTTCGCGAAGTTCATAGAGCACTTTCCATTTTATGGTCAACATAATCGGCTTAATGAGCAAGCAATTCGTCCATTTTCTTCTGTCGCCTCTATAGTCAGTAATCTATGCCTCTCGTGACACCCACGTGACCTCACCGTGGAGTGACGGTGTAGGTATGAATACCCATATAGTTCCATGGGTAAAATTCTAATGTTTTGGTAAATACAAAAGATTACTTGTTTAAATTTGTTTATTTTCAACGTAAGTAGGTGATATGAATTATGCCGTTTGTTGCAATGTCATTTTTCCTAAAGATATCGGATATTGCGACATACAGCGTTATGGAGTTATATGGATATAAAATAACCTGGCTGGAACAGAGACTCTAAAATCTAAAATTTTTTATTAATAGATAAATACCCAAATTTGGTTTATTTATTTAAAAAAAAATAGAATATGGCAAAATATTATATTAAATTCACGGTATATTTTATTTTGTCCAGTCGCCGTAAGAATAGTCTTTTTCTATTGATCTAACTAAAATAAAACGACTCTTTTTTCTCGTCATCACTCCTTGCATGACTGCGTTCACCATCGCATCGCAACATAAGTAGGTAATACAAAAATTAATCTTCGTTGCAGTCATCTCATTCTGTATAGGATAATTAATATTTGAGAATAAAGAAAACTATTTCTCTGATAGTAAGTATAGTAGTCATTGCATAGTATTTTATGATAATTAATGACTATTTAAGTATAAAAATTGTTATAGTTTGGATCAACGCCCTCTGTTTTTAAATTGGTAAACTCAACTAGAAGCAATATTTTTGTGCACTGAAATTATTATCGTTTAACACGGTAGATGGCGCTGAAAGTAAATAAAATAAAGAAAATTTACATTTTTGAAGATTTTAAAACACCAAGTTACGTTTAAAAAATTATGTATGTACTATGTAGTGAATTATAATAGAATTTTAATTGCATTACCCAGGGTGCAACTGATCACATGGCTTCGCTACAGCATGCATTAGCCTTATTGCAAGCAACAAATTCCTCGCAACGAGATGCTTTGTGTACGACGCAAATACATAATGAAAAGTAAGCAAGCTAATTATATCGCACGTTGAAAAATTTACAATGGGATGATAAAAATTGGTTTAGTTTATTGAAAAATCATAATTATTTTCGATACTTGTATATATTCAAATCAGTCATTTACTTCTGTCTAAATTACTTGCGTAATGCAAAAAACTAAAATTACAATCAACTTTAAACTGTACTTTTTACAAAATTATATTCCTAATTTTAACATAATGAGCGTGAGCATCGGTGGTTCAGTGGTAGAATGCTCGCCTGCCACGCGGGCGGCCCGGGTTCGATTCCCGGCCGATGCAGTTAAACTTTTATTATTTTTAATCCAAAAACATTTTGAGTATTCTCACAGTTTGAGAGAATTATTGCCAATTTTTTATTATTACAATTTTTTTTAGTTCTATGTAATATTTTAGACTTAAAAAACTATAGATGAACTACAAAAGCAGTTAGAAGATGCTGAGATCACACTATGGGACTTTCGTGCCAATTTGGCTGCAGAAAGACTTATCAAGGAGAACCAGACAGAGAGTCTGAGAAAGGAATTTAGGACTGAAATTGATGTAAGCTATAAATATTTTACGTTTTCATTTGGTATATTATATTAACTTTAGTTAAGTAATGCATTATGTAAAGGCAATTATATTCAATCAAATCTAAGAAATATATTTTGACAGCTGTCAGACTTATTGCACCAAGCATACCAACCAAAAAAAATGGGAACGTACAATATTAGATTCTTAAAAAAATCGTAATCGATTATTTAGAGTTAGTAATCATTTATAGTTTGGTTGGGATAATACCAGAATAAATTAAAAACGGATAATTTAGAACACAAGATTTATCGGTTTCTTCGTATTTGTTGTAACTGCTTATTTCTAGAAGCACATAATTATAAACATTTTAAATTGAAACTAGATTAAAAATAAATTTATTCAATCACTTTCAGTACAACTACTTGAGCTGTCGTTGTTTAAATTAATTATTATTTGATTTTTTAATAATGCAGTCAAAATTAATGTCTCTCAAAGTCATCCATAATCTTTTTTTTTTTGTTTTTTCTACCACTTTTGCCCAATCATCGTTTTTGATATGGGCACATACTTCAACGAATATAGAAGAAACAGTCCAAAAGTTAAAACAGAGTCACAAAATAGGAAGACAAACAGAAAATTACAAAATTACGCACAGTAACGCTCTCGAAACGGTGGTAGATTGAAATTATGTAGTGGTTTTTTCAGCGCGGCCTTGTTGTTTGATGATGAGTTTTTATGCCTACACAAAGGGCAATGGCGAAGTAATAGGTGATGGAATTATTAAGCGTCTACTTAAGTCACCATTACGGATATCAATAAAATAATTTACCTACTATGTATTACCTAATCAAACTTATGGGCTATAGAAAAAATAATCATGCACAATTCAAAACTTAATTGAATAGTTGTTGTAGTTGTTACGATTCGTCAGTTAAGACAGACAAAGATCTTATAACATACAATACATCCGAGTTTGACGTGTATTTTATTCAGAAAACTCTTCTATATCTACTAATGCGTTCGAATGCGTAAGAATTCCCTCTATGCTAAAAACTACCCTATATAAACATATATGAAAATTATATTGGATAGTTGTTGTTGTAACAATTTACCAGTTAAGGCATAAAGTATATTTTTACATATTTTGCATTTGTAGACGCAAGAAAAAAGAGTCAACTAAAATTTATTTGGGAGTTCGCCATTGTCCTTTACGTTGACAAAGTTAAAAAAATAAACTTGTTATTCATGATTCATGTAATTTAAAGAATTTTAAAATAAAAATTTAATTAAACAAATAATACATTAAAAAATTAATGATGCGATTATTTGAATACTTTTAACGATTAGGTACTTGAATCTTTTTGCCGATTATTCGCATATCAACGAATTTTAATCATTCAAAGCTAGGGTAAGGCACATAGCGACATATCATTGAAACGATGTCAAGTAAAAAAGTTGATACTGGTTTTTTTTTAAATAGTTTGCTTTCTTAAAGAGATTCAAATTTAAATTAGCGATAAAAAATTAAACACGTTGTAATTAAATATAGATTACTTCATTGATTCAGATAAAATATTATTGTAAATCTTATGAGTACGCTTATGCAAAGTTATTGCGGAATGATTAATGTGAAACGTCGAAAGGTATTTCTTAGATTTGGTTGACTATAAAATTATAATGAAAAAAAAAAAACATTTAATCAATTTGTTTCCAGAATATGGAGAATGAAATGAAACGTCGCGAAAAAGAGGCGGAAGAAAGACTAAAACAAGCAGAAATTGAGTACAAAAATCTACAAAAGAAGTTGGAACTACAGGTGTGCATTTGCAATTTACAGTTCTTAAATTTCTCTAGTCTTTTACATTTTACTAATTTGAGCATTTTTCATAGGATCATTTATAATAACCAAATTAATAAAGTTGACTATTGTGATCATAACTAAACTAAAGATAAATAGGAGGGAAAGCAGTGGTGAGTACTTACAGTAATGTTCACAGTATATGAGCAACCCGGATTCGAGCCCCATGCGCAGTAATGCATGTAGGCGGAATCAGCTGTAGGACGTTCATAGGCTGTGACTTTACTTCTGTCCTGTTTGACCTGGAGTCCGCCTGATGAGTTAGTGCTCATTCATCCACTGTTGTGTCGGTACCCTTCAGTAAGCGATGTCCAAAATAATTGGGTATTTGTAACTCTAGCCAAAGGCTGTCTGTTTGGTTCAAGTGCAATATTTTTCAAGAGTTGTCAGAATAAAATGTTATGTATTGATAATGTTGAGGGTAAAATTGTAATATCCGTGGAAGCTAGATTTTATTAAATAAGTTTGTTTTGCAGCTGGTCCTGGCGTGTATCTTGGCGCGTAATTTTCAAATAGGGAGTTCGGCTCGGTACGCTGTAGTGAACAGTCGTGTTCTTGCAAGTTGCGCATCTAACGGCACCTCTACACGTTGGCCAACACAGTGGCGAATGTAGTGGCCAATAGCATTGGCCAACGTGTAGACGGGGTGTTTGGGCTTCATTGGTATGTATTGGAACGATGGCCTGTAAGTTGGCGCGAGATCCGTGTGGTGTCGGTTTTTTACAAAAGATCAAAGGATTGTTGGCAGAGTTTGGTCGCCGCGTCCACACGTTGGCCGCGAGTTTAGTTTGCTACAAGCTCCCAGAGTAATTACACGCATCTGTTTAAAATTTTATATTCACGCTTTGTAGGGTGGATGACCCAATTACCAGCCTTTTAGTGCCAATTTCAACTTTAAACATTCATACTACTTTAATTAGCGCGATTTAATTATTTTTAAACATTTGTTTTATTCGATAAGCTATTTATAAAAAAAAATAATGAACATTTATTAACAATCAGATTATTACGAGAACAATTTTAAAATGAAAAAAAAAAATGAAACACGTCGTTTATACGTGGTAGAACCATGCAGTTATATTAGAAGTATAGTTGTAGCACGAATGGGTCGGTTCGACCGGGGAAGGACCACGCTCTCACAGAATATCAATGTAAAATAGTAGCTTAATGATGCTGTGTTTCGTTTAGTGAGTGTAGAGAACCAGAGACACTTTTTAAAGGAAACGAGGCATTTCATCTTAGTCCTCACGGGTGACAACGCATCTGCATTTTGATTCGTAATCGAGGATAGATGTAGATGTCTGTGGGCCACAGCAACCACTTACCATCAGGTGAACTGTGTGCTCGTTTGTCACCCTATCCTATATAAAAAGCGTCGATTTCTTATAATTTAATCGTGCAAGTTTTTGAACCATCATCATCATTACAGCTCTTCACAAGTCCACTACTGAACATCCTCCTCCAAAGAATGCCGCAAAGCATGGTCCTGAGCCACTTTCCTTGTCATGAATTTTTCATTTATTTTCTAAGTTATAATTAGTGCCTATTATTAAGTCAGTGTTAATTATATTTATTGCTATTGTTTTTGTCTTTCTCAAAAATAATTAAATTACCAAATAAATTATAAGGTGTTTTATATACATCAAATGTCTGATAGAAAAGCAAGTACATGTTTTGCTAAACTTTAAAAACAAAACCCAATATAGATAGACTAATCGATTATAACTCCTTTAACTTTAAAATAACTTCAGTTCTAATTAATGGTATTTATTCCAGTTTCTGATGCATGTAAAGAATAAATAAAGTTAATCGTATATCGTATATCTATTTACAGCCCTATTAATATTCACTATTCATTTATAACTATTTTATAAAAACGTTACCCCCCACACTTGGATTTTCTCCTGTGTCGCGGAGGCTACTTACAAACATAAATTGCACAAGGACACACATTCAGACCCGAAACAATTATTTGTAGGATATACAAATACTTAGATAGAAGATTGCGTACCAGAAGGCCGTAACTTACCTTGGGTACAGGATCGACAGGACGCTGCGCATGACCGCGCACGTCGACTTCGTCGTCCGCAGGGCCCGATGTGCGCGGGCGACGCTCTTGCCGGTCCTGGCATCCAAGCTGCCGATAAGAACCAAGCTCCGGATATACAAGATGTATATCCGGACTATCATCACCTATGCTGCTCCGGCCTGGTACGCACTTCTGAGCGACCCTCTGAGGCGGCGACTACAGGCCCAGCAGAACCTGACATTAAGGACGATCGTCGGAGCAGGTCGCTACGTCCGGAATGACGTAATAGCGGCCGACTTGAAGATCGAGAACATCACCGACTTCGTGGCCCGGCTAGCGCGCGGCATGTTCGACCGTGCCGACAACGGGCCACACGAACACCTCAACGGCTTTGCGCCGTTGCACACTCGGCCACCGGACGGGCGACCTCTTCCAAGAGAACTCCTAGACTTTATCAGATAACCTCTTTTTTCCGTAGTCGGATAACTACGGAAAAATATCTCTACCATCACGGAATAAATCCGTCCAATTTTATCTAGCCTAAGAGGCTACAAGGACTGTCCCATAGCTATGGGACATGAGGAACATCCGGGCAATGGGGGCTACCCCGAGGCCCGATACCTGCATGTCACCTCGGTGCATGTAGACGACAACACGAAGCAGGTGTAGGAGCTGCTGACGGGCCAGCCTTCGTGGCTGGCACTTGGCCCTCTGACGTCTGCGTCGTTGCACCACCAAATCGTCTCCGGTCCGTCTCCTGCTGGCGTTGAATTCGGGTACGGACACCCTCCATCTGCTCCTTAGGTAAAATCGGCATGATTTTATCCCACTTCTGACACCAATTGTCAGACGAGCTTGAGGTTCATTACAATAAAAATTGCCGATTGAATTACCAAAATTTACAATTTAATTTTCTTTACACCAATTAAAACTTAAAACACTAATAATTAATCACACTGATTCACTTTATGTCGCTCCGAAGCTTCGCTTGTCTCGCCAAATTCAATACTTCCCCGATCGCATCTTGCAGCGCCTATAGATACACATTAGCACCGAAACATCCAGAATATTCAAGTAAATACGCGCACCAATCGACAAGGCGCCGAAAGTTCGAGTGTCGGCTTCTAGAAGCTTAGTTCTTCGTTTCGATACTAGATGGCGCTGTCGGTTGAAAGATTAGTGATGTCATTTCCTGGAAAGCTCCCCTCGCTCTCGTCCCTGATACTAGATGGCGCTAGTGCCGGGTACATGACGTCGACTTAGACACGCAACACTATGTACACGTTAGTTAATAGAACTTTTAAAAAATATTTTTCTTATAATTTTGCACAATTTTTCTTATTGTAATACCGATTCATTCATAACCACATATAAGAACTGTATTCATTTCCGTTCATTAAATGTTACTAAGGCTTATTAATAAGGCTTACTAAGAACTGTTTCTACCACAGTTAAGTAATAGTTAAGGGTGAAAGCGTGACAGGTGGTGATAGTATTTCAGATCCATACTTATAAATACGCCTGTAACCTTGCGGGGTAGGCAGAGCATCAACGGATTACTTAATATCGTCTGCGAGGTTATCGCCTATTCTGTGAATTACAATGCACCAAAACGTTTGAAGAAAATCAGCTGGTGAATTTTATGTTTTTTATCGCTCTCTTCCGGGTCCTGCGGGGAAAAATACAGGTCCATACATTTTTTATCTTAATTTTGGTAAAAAGACATAATAATCCAGATATTCTGACCTTCTGTGTTCGTCCGTCGTATCGTCGTCCGTCTTGTAAAATCACGGTGGCGCCACCTAGCTGAATTTAATTTTGCAACATATTCGATGTTCCCACGGGAATGATATGCTTTTCCGCTGAAAAAAGTAGCCTATGTCACTCTACAGCCACCGAACTATCCTTCTTACTTCGGTCGCGACATTCTAGAACTATCTTCTTTCCCCTCTCACCCCACCACCCCGATGTGTCGATAGGACGGTAGGTTTTTGGAAAGGACAAAACGCTTTGGCAAGCTTACCCTCGAATAAAATAAAATACGAATGGTTTTCCGCGCAACCATCCCCCCCGGCTTGAAGGATTTCCTTCAAAAATAACTAAAACAACTAGAGCTAAGATCAAACTGACAAATAACTAACTAACGCTAAGATTAAACCTAAATTTTAACTACAATTTTTTTTATTTAAAAACTTTATTGCACTTAAAATGTACAATTGGCGGACTTAATGTCTTTAGAAATTCTCTACCAGTCAACCACAAGCTAAGCAGATAACTTTAGCAGGTGCCATAAAATATGTAGATAATTTATACGTAAATGTAAATATAAAAATACACATACCACAAGTGTAAATACAAAAATAAATATACACAACTACAATTAACCTAAGTAATATATGATACATTGCATACATAATTTAAATAGTACACAACAATACAATTATAAGTAATATATGATACATTGCATACATAATGTTTAAATAGTACATAACACATACATTTAAGTATACTTACATACGAACGTATTATCCTAAAACAATTTAAATAAATTAAAATGTCAAGTCACATATAAGCAGAAACAATTAAATATTATGAAAGTTAGTTGCTGGAAGAGGAAAGGTAGTGATCAGTCACCATCCTCTTAAATGTAGCAACAGAAGTCGGTTTTCTGATATGAGGGGGTAATTTTATTCCATAGCCTTATGGCCTCAGCGGCGAAAGACTGAGACATAAATTTGGTACGGCGAGGAAACATAATTTAGTTCCCTCGGAGGATCGCAGGTTACGATCGTGAGATGAACCCAAATACTGAAATTTGCATTTCAGGTATTGGGGAGTGCATGGATCATATAGGATTGAAAAAAGCGTGCGAAGAATTTTGATACATCTACGCTGATGGATAGGGAGCCATTTAAGCTTAGAACGATATATAGATACATGATCGTATTTACGAAGGCCAAAAATAAAACGGATGCAATTATTTAATAAACGATCCAATTTGCACAGAAGTACTTGACTCACATCAGAGTAACACACATCAGCATAATCAAGGAGTGGTAAAACAAGCGCTCGCACCAACATAGCCTTAGTCTCGGTTGGAAGGAAATTCTTGAAACAATAAATACCACGCAGGGTGATTGTCACTCTCCGGCTTATAGCCACCTGAGATTGCCAACTTAAATTAGCATCAATTATTAACCCAAGGTCTTTAACTACTTGACTAATAGAAATAATTATGCTATTGTAAACGATAGGCTTCAGTGAATTAAAATCTAATTTAGCTATACGGCGAGGACTACCGAGAATATCGCTTAACATTTAACAGGATTGACAGCAATTCCATAATTTCTGCACCAGTCACAGATGGCCTCAAGATCTAGATTTAAAATTTCGATCGCGGAGTTAACCTTTGCTGGATCAATCTGAATGTACAGCTGTAAATCGTCAGCATACAGGTGGTAGGAGCATTTGAAATTTACAGTTATGAGATTTATAAAAATAGAAAATAATAAAGGAGAAAGAATTCCGCCTTGTGGAACGCCAGTAGTAAGATCAGACCAATCAGAGAAAGACTGTTGGTTGACTTAAGAAACTGTTATTAGAGTTACCGTCGGCCTGCTTAAGTATTTTATACCCACATAATATAATGTCAACACAGCGTACTCCACCAAATACATTAAATTTATCTGGTAATAAAACCCGAATACAGCTACACGGATCGGATCCTAATCTTAATATTCTTATGGAAAGTGATAATGAATGTAGCACTTTGACGAGAAGACAAAAAAGAAAGATTCCTGAGCCGAGTGAAGAATCGTCGTTAATGCAGGAATTGCGCCGTATGTTTAATGATTTTAATAAACAACAGAACCAAAAGATTGAAACTTTAATCACATCAATTAATGAGATCAAGCAGCAAAACGTCGAAATTCGTGAGTCCATTTCATTCCTATCTGCAAAGTATGACGATGTTTTAAAGGAATTAGAACATATCAAAGAAGAAAATAGTTTGAAAACATGTCTCATAAACTCTCTTGAGCAGAAAATTGAACTTTTGGAACGTAATGCGAGATCCACAATGATAGAAATAAAAAATATTCCACGAACCCATTATGAAAATAAAAATGTATCTTATTTCCTTGGTCAAGAAATTGGGAGAAATTATTAATATGAACATCCTCGACACAGACATAAAGATGTTTTTCGGCAAAAGGCTAAAAATAAGGAATTTAGCCCAATAATAATTGACTTTATGAAGCCAGCCCTAAAGGAAAATTTTATACGGTCTGCCAGATTGTACAACATAAACAATAAAACTCAACGCCTGAACACTGAACTTTTAAATATAGAAGGATCCTCCAAGTTCATTTTTATAGCGGAATACTTAACACCAAGGGCAAAAAGATTACACTATTTAGCCAGACAATTCGCGAAAGCTCACAACTATGATAGTTGCTGGACTTCTTATGGCAAAATATATCTACGCAAGAAAGACGGGATGCAAACAATTCATATTGAAAGTGAAGAAGATCTATCAAAACTAAAGCTATGACTCTGTATGTATTTTAAGTTATTTTGTTGTAAATTATTAGTCTTAAGTTTTGTTTTTAACTTTATATCGAATCCTTATTTTATTAACCTATACATACACGTAAATCATTTACACTACATAAAACACACTTTTAACTTTGTTCTTATATATGATTTGTCCAGTAACAATATTATAATATTACATAATACACCGAGTAGCTTTATGTGTTCTATTAGAATGAATACAAGGATTTACCAAATATTTTTATTCCTAAATATTAAATATTTATTTAGTACTAGGGTATTCACGCAACTTAAAACTAAGTTCTTAATCAGTTTTTTTACATCGAATACATGATGATGGATTGTACATGTTCAAAAAAATATTACAAAAGGCAAATATGGGGAATATTATTAACGATCTAGACACAATCAAAACAAAAACCTCTTCATACTGCGATATAGAACACAGCTATAAACATACTGCAACTAATCGCTACTCGTATCAGCCCAAAAAACTACTAATGCTAAATGTGCGCAATATTAGAAAAAGTTTTTGTGATCTAATTACATTACTATCGAGGTCTAAAATTAGTTTTGACATAAAAATCACGTTCTGTGTGTTTTTTATGTTATTTTGTTTTAAAATATTAGTCTTTAGTTTTATTGTTAATTTTATATCGAACACTTATTCTAATAACCAATACATGCACCCAAAACATTTAAACTACATAAAACTCACTTTTAATTTTATTCTTATGTATGATTCGTCCAGTAATATTATTTTTAGTACTAAACATATGTTACAGGTGAATAGCTTTATGTATACTGTTAGAATTAAGAGGATTTACCAAATATTTTTGTTTATAAATATAAAATATATTTTTAGTTCTAAAGTATTCATGCACCTTAAAACTAAGTTTTTAATCAGTTTTTTACATCGAATTCATGATGAAAGATTGTATTTGTTTAAAAAAATATTACAAAAGGCGAAAATATAAGGAATATAACTAACGATTTAGATACAATAACAACAGCAAACTCCTCATACTGCGATATAGAACACTGCTATAAGCATATTACAGGTAATAACCATCAACCCTTAAAACTTTTAATGCAGAATGTGCGCAGCATTAGAAAAAATTACGATAATCTAATTACATTACTAACAAGATCTATAATTAATTTTGACATAATAATCGCGACTGAATGTTGGTTACAAAGTTCTCAAATAATACCTCCTATTGAAGGCTACAGTTATAGTTACATGCTAAATAACAATACGCAAAATGAAGGAGTGTTAATTTATAGTAAAATTAATTTAAATATATCTATTAGTGAACCAAACTTTATTGGCGTTAACTGTTTGCTAGCTAAGCTAAATAACGATACAATTATTGTGGCACTTTATAGGCCTCCTAGTCAAAGAGACGTTACAAAATTTATTGAATCTCTTAATTATTTATTACAGAAAATATGTTTATATAAAAACATAATTATCGCAGGTGATATTAATATAGATATTTGTGAACAGAACAAAGATACTCATGCCGAAAACTACTTGAACTTATTAGCGTTATTTGGTATCCTTTCTGCACATACATTGCCCACTCACAATCGAACCTGCTTGGATCATATTATGTTAAAAACGAATTACAAAGCAATCTGCTGTATTTCTCAGACAACAATTACAGATCATGACTGTGTTATCTTGCTTTTAAATTTAAAAAATAATAATTATTGCACTAATTTGACTAAGAAAATCACTAATTACAATAATGTATACTTAGAAATAAAAAATACTGACTTTTCACCAATTTTCAACATGTTTGATGTTAATGTTGCGACTGATTATTTGGTAAATTCACTATCAAATATTATTGATTCACAATTAATATATCACAGCGAAAAATCAGTCTTACCTATATTCTTAGATCTAGCAAAAGCGTTTGACACCGTCTACATTCCACTGCTTGTGAATAAGTTAGATTATATGCGCATTAGAGGCATACCTTTAGATCTTATAAAAGACTATCTAACAAATAGGACTCAGCAAGTTAGGGTTGATAATCATGTTAGTGAAGCACTTAACATATCATTTGGCGTACCACAAGGAAGTGTACTCGGTCCTACACTGATTTTAACATACATTAACGATCTCCTCAATATTAAAGTTACACAAGGTAAGATCCTAAGTTTTGCTGACGATATGCCCTCATTTTTTATGTAAATACGTGGCAAGAAGTATATGCAAACGTTCAAGAAGGCTTAAATAAAGTATCTGACTGGCTAAAAAACAACATTTTAACATTAAATATACAAAAAACAAAATATATGACTTTTACCATGCGTTCAACAAATAACATTAACTCCCAATATTCATTAAGAGTACATACATGTTCAAAGCTGGAAACGTCACAATGTCATTTCAGTGTTATTGAGAGAGTAGATAATATAAAATATCTTGGAGTAAATATTGATAACAAACTCAGTTTTCATAGCCACATAAACATGTTAACAACTAGAGTAAGAAAGTTAATATACATTTTTAAAAACCTTAGGCACATAGCTGACTCAAAAGTCATTAAAATAATTTACTTTGCCTTATGTCAATCGATTATCACATACTGCATAACAACTTGGGGTGGTTCTGAAAGGACAAAAATAATAAAACTGGAACGAGCACAGAGAGCTATACTAAAAGTATCCGCCTCACTTCCCTTTCTTTACCCTACTGTAGACCTATACAAACATTGGAAAGTCCTATCTGTCAGGCAGCTCTTTATTCTACAATGTATCACATTACACTTGATAAAAGACGATCGCAGAATCGCAGAAATGGTCTAGTCTGTTACTACAACACGCATTGCACCAAATTTTCTCATAATTTTTTTATCTTTCTGGGTAATTTTCTATATAATAAAGTAAACGCTAGAATTGGTATATATCCTCTTAATAAACGCACTTGCAAATTAAAAGTAACTCAATGGTTGTTAAGTCTGGACTATGAGACCACTGAAAACCTTCTTATTTCATATACATAGTTTCAGTACTGGATAGATCATACATTCATACACAACTCACAGATACACACACACACACACACACACATTCACACACATACATACACACACAAACACAAATACACACTCACACACACACACACACACACACACACACACACACACAAATAACACAAAAGTAACTAATAATACAATATCTCTCAATTGTTAATCAAACAAATAACTTGTTCAGTTATGTTGATAATATCCTGAGGGGGGAGACCCTGGTGATCCGTAACACAGGCTTCCGCCTAGTATAGACACCAGACTCTCAGCCCATAGTGTACACTGTTTATACTTTAACTTGTTAATTTAAATTGTGAGAGTAAATAAAAAATATATTATTATATATTATTACTTTAACTCTTTGCTGGCGAGCACGAAGATAAGTTGATAACCAATCCAAAACTGACGAAGAGAAACCCATGTATTTACAGATAGCAAGGAGAATGTCATGATCAACTGTACAGAAAGCATTGGAGAAGTCAATTAATATGAGAACCGTTAATTTTGATTCCTCCATACCCTCTCGTACATCATCAAGAACTTTAAGGAGAGCAGTGGTTGTACTATCCCCAGGACGAAATCCTGATTGTAAGGGACTAAGAAGATAATTGTTATAAATGTAGCTGGATAGCTGTTTGTATGCAGCTGATTCTAAAATCTTTGAAAGAAAGGGAAGTATAGAAATTGGTCGAAAATGGTTAACAGAACTGGGATTATTTAACTTGGCAAGTGGAAGGACAAATGCTTTACGCCAAAAAGATGGAAAAACCCCAGTAGAAAAAGAAAAATTGATGATGTGGGTAATGATTGGGAGAATGTTTTCAAGTATGGGGATAATGATATTTCTACTCACATCATCATAGCCAGTTGCTTTAGATTTAATGGAAAAATTAATTTTACGAACATCTTCATCAGTTATTGGAGAAAAAGCAAAGCAGTTTGCGTCGATTTTGGGAAGTGATGAGATAAGAGAAATAGTTCTATGTTTAATGGAATTATCGACGTTAGTTGCCGAGGAGAAATGCTTATTAAGATCATTGAGAGATATTGACCCCATATCAGGGCAATTCTTTTGTCTACCTAACCCAAGGGAATTAAGAAACTTCCAAGTGCCGGCTGGCGAAGAGCTTATAATATTCTTATGGATATGTCGGCGTTTTGCAGCTCGAACCATCTGATTGCATCTGTTTCTGGTAGCCTTATATACATTCCAATTGGCATCACAGCGATTGTTTTTAAATCTTACAAAAGCCCGATCACGTTTTGCCATTGCTTTGCGGATGTCACTGTCCATCCACGGTGCTGGGGGGCGCTTGACTTTAACATTGCGAATCGGGGCACTGCATCGTATAACTGAAGGATATTATTAGTCAGTGTCTCTACCATATGATTTACATCTGATGTATTGAAAATATCTGACCAATCTATTGAGGCGGCTTTCCGTTTCAAGAACTCCACATCCAGAGTCGTAAAGCTACGCAGACGCAGAACAGGTCCGATAACTTTTGGTGATTTGACTCTATAGGTAATGAATAGAAAATCATGGCGCGAGAAACCAGAAGCCGGAAAC